CGCCGTGAGGGGACGGCGGGTGGCGGGAAGAGCGGCCGGGGCGTGAGGGAGGGGAGCGGCGTCCGACCCCCGTGCGGCTGTCGGGGCTGAGGGGACACCGCGGAACCGCGGGGACAGCGAGCCGCCCCCGGCGGGGACCTGCGGAGGAGGTGCCGAGCGGGAAGGAGCCCGCGCGGGGGGGAATGCGGAGGCGGCCGCCGGCCCCGCGCGCGCGGGGCTTCCAGAGTTCCCGTCGCTGCTTTTCCTCGAGTGTTCGCTGGAGCGAGCACAAGACAGCGTTCTTTCCCCACTTCCACCGAGCTCCGGCCGTAAGTTACCTCAGAACTAGAAAGTTTATCCGATTTCAGCTCGCCTCTAAAGGGTCATCAGGAGCTGCCCATGGAGACGGTGGAATCTCCTCCCCTTTAGGGAAAGACTGGATGTGGCACTTGGTGCTGTGGTTTAGTTGACAAGGTGGTGACCGGTCAAGGCTTGGATCCCAGAGATCTTTTCCAACCAGATTGATTCTCGTGGTTCTGTGATAAACCAATGCAGTCTAACAGCATCAAGAGCACAAAGCAAAATCCAGTCCTAAAATCCAGGGCTTTTAAAAACCTCCAAGCACTTTAGATAGAGATAATACCTGTTTTTGTACAGGGCAGTGACAGACACCCATCCCACCCTTGCACCGGTTGCTGTGACAGACCTTGAACACCGGGATGGGTGATGAAGTCCCCTGTTTCACACAAAGCATAAATCCATAATTAGCAGATTTGGGGTTTTTTTCCCCCCCAGTGGTTATAAAGTTTCTCAGCTGCTGTAAATAATTCCAGTAATATCCATGGAACTGGGCTGCTTTTGAGCAGTGGAGGCTCAGCTCTGACAGAGATCCATGGAAGTACATGAGCATAAAGGCTAAATGAGTTACATGGGAGGTGATGCTCTGCAGGAAATTTGTCACAGACCTGTGAGCTCTGGTGTAGTATTGCTGGACTCCTTCATTAACTTCTCCCTAATGCACACCTTGCTGTTCGTGCTAATTGTACAATCACAGATGCTCTGAGTACACAACAGCGATCTCTGTTTAAAAAACATTGCTTCTGAAAGGAACGCTTCTTAAGGGGCTACATTATTATTCAAATTGATGCCGAGGATGATGTAAAGAAGGAAGCTGTTCAACAGCACTTCACTGATCTTTCTACAGCAACTTGTATCAGTCTCATTATGCTGTTTATACACACACAGGGCGATGCCGTCCCATTGGTATTACACTGCTAATTGGAATTACTACTTTCAGAAAGAAAGAGTCAGTTTAAGGGCCAAAAGAGAAGCGTGGTTTTAATGTATCCCACAGCATTTATTTCTTTACCGTGGTCCATTGGATTTATAATTATAAATCCATTCTAACCTGTCAAAGCGTTTATCAATGTATTTAATCAATACAATACTCTTACATTGCTCTTTTGCTGTCAGGTTTCACAAATGACTACTGTATAAACGTAATGAAAGTAGACTGCATCTGGCATAAACCCACCTGAAATGACTTCTGGGAAGCTTCCAGCCAAGGATGGAGTGGCCACCTGCTTCATTCTTTCCAGCCATTCCGTGTTTCCCTATATAGGTGTGAAATTACAGGTTTGTGGCATATGCCAAACTGGGGACTTATTCTAGAGTTTGACTGAAATGCAACTATGTGACCTTTACTTTGCAATAAACACAAGCCATAAATTTTGCAGATATTTGAGGAGAGGACCCTGGAAAATAGGAACAAACAGAAAATCTAGTGGCAGCTATGATTCTGAGCCTTTGTAGATCAAAGATTCTTCTGTTTCCTTCTGTTCTTTTTTTTCTGGTTCAGCAATAGGTAAGCCAAGAATGTCTGCAACAAATATCTCTGCTGTGATTTCTGCTGGAATTTCTTCTTCAGTCAAAGCTGCTGCACCTGGAGAGCAGTAACAACAACACAAGACACACAGAAGCAATGTCAAAATTGCTTTCCAGTAAAATTTATAAGCAGCCATAAGTGAATGAAATGTTTTTAAAGATATACAAAGGGATCATGACAAAGTGATGGTTTAATAGCTTAATACTTTATGTGTTTATATCGGGGATTAAACCTGTCAAATCTGTGTGTCTCACCTTGCAGCAGCTCCCTGCCTCAGAGGAGTCATGGGACAACTTTAACACTTGGTCGATTTGATGTGATTTAGGATCCTGAGGGATCCAGGGATTTCAAAGTTCCCTTTGGCAGCAGCCCCTTTGCTGGATGGGGCCCATTGCCAGTGACCCTAAACAGATTCTGTTCCAAACTGGTGGGGACTGGGACATGAATTGTACAAAATGCAGTTCCAATTACAATGAGCAATTAAATTCAGCCGCTTGGCTCAAATCAATGCTATAATTTGCTGTTCCAGGCTGGTGTGGACTGGGACATAAATTGCAGACAAATGTGGTCGTTACCAACAGCTCTGCTACAATGGGCACTGTGGCCTGGGTGAAACCAGCACTGGGATTTCCCTGTGTGTTTCTAATTTCAGTTCCAGCCAGCAGATAAACAGCAATGTAATCTTGTCAGGCCCCAGTTATAGTTCATTGTCCATTTATTTTTAGATACACCCGTGCAAGTGCTTCGTGGATGAAGGACAGTCTGTAGCTCTGTGACTATTTTTGCAATCCCATCTGAGCAGTTTTGACAGCTCTTGGCCTAACAGGGTAAATGGGTTTGAAATTTAAATTATTCCATTTGGGAATTGAAACAATCCTGCTTCTGTGCTGTGTGGAATGCTAATCCTGTACCTGTGGGATCGTAGGTGTCCAGTTCAGATCCTTCTTTCCTGGGTCTCCTGCCCAGCAGGGTGGTCAGACACGCAGCCAGCTCATCCTCTGTCATCTGCTCCCCTGTACAAAACAGAGCACCACCAGCCCACGGGTTATGGGGCTGAGAGCACAAAAACTCAAAAGCAACTCAAACTAAACAGGACAGTTCAAAAGAGGATCTGGCTTCTCTGAGATAGGGACATATACACTGCCAACTGGAACACATGATCCCAACGCAGGAAAACGTTGATCCTAAGGAAAATTGTCTTCTCTATAGCATTTTGGGGAAAAATGTCAATCAAAGGAAGAAATTCTGATGCAGACAGCTCTTTAAGCAACATTGCAGTAGTAGGGGCTTGAGCTGCTATTCCCACTGGAGAATTCCTGGCACAGACCACAGTCCATGTAGCAATTTTCATGCAGAGGAAGAGAAAGGTGGAGAAAAGTCTTGATTTAGTATCTTGAAATAACATGGACATAGCACTTGTTCCCAGTTAGTGGTTGGCTCATGCCCTGGAGCATGAGGTTATAGATCTGTTATGAAACTGCTCTATCTGATGTACCTATTTATGGATGTTCACACCATCTGTATAAATAGCTAACCTTTCTCACACTGGTTGAATCCGTGGTTTCCAAGGATCTTTGTGGCAAGGAGCCTTGCCAACTGATGTACTGAGTAAACCAGCATTTCTCTTTACCTGTTCTAATGCTCAGCTATACTTTTACACCAGAAGTAAGACAACAGAAATTTGTTATTAGCACTCTATGGCACTGGCCAGAAGCATATTAACACCCACATTTATGGTGTTCTCCCTGATTCAGCTCAGCTAAATCATCCCATCTTTTCAGTCTTTCACACGGGTACAGCCCAGGACCAATTTCATCCCTCCTTTCTTGTCTCCCTTTTATCGGTTTTATACTACTTTTCCAGAGCCTGTGTGACTGGAAAAGAGAACAGCAATTCAGATAAGGGCACACTGGGAGAAGGATACATTTTGCCAAGATCCATACTTATCATTTAACAGCTGAGATACCTCAGGCCAGCAGAGATTTCCAGAGCAGTAAAAGAAGCACAGCTGGGACAAGACATGTGATTATTCAATTTAAAATCTTAAGGCAGGTGGCTCCTCATGCCTGCCCTGGTTACCAGGTTCTCGTTCCAGAATAATTTCTTGCTGCAGGGAAAAAGTTCTGAAATTGCAGGCAGAACTAGCAAATATAAAACTGATATTAGAAACAAAATAACTCACCTCTGCACTGAAGCAGTGACAGGAAGTCTCCTCTGTCAATAACTTTGTCTCCCTTCTTGTTATCATAACCAAGAACCTGAAATGCTCTTTGTATGGTTTTCATTGACAAGCCAAGTGCAGGTCGATGATTTATATAAAGTTTGATAAAATCCTCTAAATTGATTTCTGTCACTTCTTCTCCAGTATCTGCATACTTGCTGAATTTTATTTCATGTATCATTTCTTCAATCTAAAGATCAGGACAAGGCAGATTGTTACATGTTTTATTTTGAAGAGCATTGGGCCAGTTTCCGATCCTGTGAATGCCAATGTCCCCAAACCGTGCATATGTGGAATATGCCACGGGTGCCAGGACCACATCCCAGGAGGAAGCTGCACTCAGCAGCTGAGGATGGGAATGGCCAACAGTTACACACCTGCTGACATGACAATAACTAGTAAACATGGGGGTTACACACACAGAGTCATTTTGTATTTCCTCTCTTGTGACAGACACTCGGTGACCCTGCAGCTGTTACCCGCACCTTGGGCACAGCTGTGTCTCCACTCTGGGACAGTGGGCAGGCAAACCACAAACCAGTAAACACACCATCTTCTATCCTTGCTCTGGAAGAACACACACGAGGGTCCCAGCAGAACCAGGCTGCACACCCTGACTGGATAAGAAATCTTATCTTGCCCTGCTCTTCCCCGTGTCTAGGGCGGCTCAGGCGCTGCACAAGCCAAACCTGAAATGTGCTCAGTGGGGCTGACACCCTGCACTGCTGGATCCCTCACACCCCTCTCGGACAAACAGGCAAGCACTGGCTGTGCTGGATACCAGTGGTTTTCCTGAAGTCTGGTGCTGTGAGTCAGCCCAGTTGGCAGCTGTGCAGATGTGTGTCCAAAAGGCAGCATCTGCTCCATGCCTTCATTGTCCTTGCAGCCCCTTCAGAGATACACGGGCAGCAGAGAGAATTCCCTGTGCCAACATGTACCAGGCCTGCTGCTCCCCGGGAAGGGAAGCTGATGCAAGATCTCCCCAGGGAGGACTTAGCATTCAGCCTTGGGCCTTTGTCCTTGTGTCACAAGTTTTTCCACTGAATGAAACCCAGGGAAGAGGGAAATCTCAGCTTTATATTTCTCCTGTAGCGAATGTCACACCAAGCAAGAACAGTCATTTCACTCTGCTCTGGCTGATCTGGGATTAGGTTTTATATCAACCCCACTGAACTACAAAAGAAAAACACCAATTCCCAAAAGCTTTGCTAGTCAGCCCAAGCTGCCTTTTCTCCCTCCTGCTTTTCTTTTATTAAAACACTCTAGAGAGAGACAAACCTCCTCTCCGGATTTATTACTGATTGTAGGTTGCCTGGTTTCACAACAGCTCAGCACCTCTGTTTCCATGCCTGAAATGCTGTTTATATTTTAATTTGGGGAAGTGTGGGGCATTATCAGTTATTATTCCAGAGACATTTCCCAAGGGAATATGTTCTTTCTGTCCCCAAGAGGCAAAAATTTAATAACCCAAGGAAAAGATCTAACACAGTATGAAGAGATAACACCTCAACTTGACACCAGGGCAAAGCAGCCCCAGCTCAAACACTTGCTGGTTGTGGGGGCTCCCAAGTGAATCAGTTTGGTGGTGGCTGTGGCAACGGTGCTGCCTCCCATCTGGTGGCTCTCCTGGCAGAGCATCCCTGGGCAGATGGGGTGGCACAGACTCACAGCAGTGCCTCAGCAGCCTGTGGGTTGCTGTGCCATGGAAGAGATGAACACAATCTCCCCCGCAGAAAGGCTGGGGGAGCTCAGTGATGCACCTTCTCCCCTGGGAGAGCCTCTCCTGCAGTGATGGTTGGAGCTGATGCTCAGAGGCCGTTATTCAAATCTCCTTGCTGCAGATGCAGTCATGCCAGGTTACACATTACAAATGAGGTTTGTGTACAGTACAAACTGCCTTGGAGAAATAGTCACACAAAGGGGAAGAAGCAGCACCCTTATTAAATCAGTTCTCCCTGCTGTAAAATTTTGACCCTGAGGTTGCCTTGTTGAACAACTCTGAGCTGTCAGGCTCCAGGTTTGCTCAGCCTTCTTCTGCAGTTGCCCAATTTGCTAGTAAGGAAACTTTTTTAGGAATTTTCTGCCAGATTCTGAGCACTACTATATTGATGCAAACCAGATAAAAATACATTGACAGTCAATAAATATATCCCAGAGCCATCCAGCATGGCAAGGGTCAGAATCTGGCCCTTAGAACACTTAGGAATTACAATCAGTCTTGCTCTTTCTTCTTTTAATAACAACAATAAAAACAGCTGACCCACCTCTTCCTCTGATGGATAAAATCCTATTGCTCTCATTACAGAAGGAATTTCCTCCAGGGGAATATGTGTTGACACCTGTCTGGTCTCCAGTGTTTTGATACCTTGGCTGCACAGCTGTACGTAGTAAAAATAGTCCTCCAGTTCCTGCCAGGGATTCAAACAAACACTGCAAATTTCAGTTACCAACAGGCACAGAAGATAAGGCTCCTTTAAGGGTTTACCAACAGTCACATCAATGAGATTGCTGTTAAAGGCTAGCTGGACAAAACATAAAGAAATGTCAGGCCTGTATAAATTAAAGTCCAACCAGATGTGGCCAGACAGTGTTCACGGTGAGCATAATTACCCTGAAGAATTTGCCTTCTCTGCCGCCATCCAGGAGGTTGTAGAATGGGATCAAGTCCTCCCCACCCAGGAAAGCAGCAGCATCCAAGGCACTGGCAGAAGTGAAGGAAAGAAGGTACAGGAAGGGTTCATGTGAGGAGAGCTTTCATGGTTCCCTTTCTAGGCGTTGTTCACAGACACTTTCAATAAATAAAATCCCTGGGCTTCAGAATTCAGGAAAGGAAAGCACTGCCTTGAACCTTGTGCTGTTTTATCATCAGCTGTGCTTCTACAGCGTATTTCATACTCAGGTTTTACATACAATAGCACAGTGTGGGAATTAATTATTACTGAATGGTCCTCTTGTTTAGTGGAATGAGTACAGGGCTGGGAGCCAGGAGCTTTTCCTTGGACTTGAACTTGGTGTCTGGCATTTGGCTTTTCTGCTTCCTTATAGAGACATTGAGGGAGATGAATTAGCTAGATCAGCATTTTGAACATGCAGAGAAGGCTGGGACTTGGTGTTTGCAATAAACCACACAACTCCCTGTTCCTTGATCCAACACATTTTTCCCCAATAACTCAGTGCAATCCATTACCCGACTTCCTCCGCCGTGGCGGGCGACGGAGTCACAGGTGCAGTTTGCATTAAACTGAAAGCGCCTGAGTAGCCACCTCTTTGTTTCAATTTCATAGGCAGTTGGAGCCAAAAGAATCCCTTTGGCTTGTGCAGATGTAAAAAGAAACCAAGGCTGGAAGTGCAATCATGGCATAGCACTGCCACATAATACCCCATGCCTGGCAGCCAGGCTGCAGCTTTCACACACACCTCTGTAGCTCTGCTTCCACTGGGGTTTTTTTGCAAGCTTCATGCTTTTTTCATAATTAAGTTATTTGGGTATTAAACACAGTGGAGATTCACAAGATGCCAGAAGCAGCAATAAAATGATAATTAGCTCATCAAAAACTTAGCTCCAAAAACAAATTACATAGAAATTCAATGTTGCCTGGACTCTGGCCAACCATTATAAAGAAGGATCATTTATATTCTATTGCCTTCCTTAAAATGTCGCTTATCCTGACCCCCGACTGTTTAAGCCACACAAAGTGGAAAAGAAAATAAATAAACCCATTGCTTTCCCATCCAAGTTTCCTTTGTTCTGGCACATGAAGGTGAGCTGGCTTGGCACTCCTTGGGCTTTCCTCAGAGCAAATGATACCTGCAAAATGTGTTCCCTGCAGGACCAGCATGTGTCTTAACCACAAAGCCTCTGTCCTAGGAAGGTGAAGAGCATTAGGTGCACACCTAATGGCAATCATAGGAGCTAGGGCTAAAAGCCAGCTCCCATGGAGTTATTTCCCAGAAACCAGGAGACACAGTGCTCTGTGCTAGGAGGGTGTTGTGCAGGATTTGAAAAAAAAAAAAAAGCACAGACTGAGGGAGACTATGTCTATCCTAACATGTCTATCCACACTATCCTAACTCTGCCATGGACTAAGCTTCCTTGCCAGTCCCTGAAGTGTGAAGTGGTTCCATGGTGACCTGGCAGTTTTCATGCCATTCACAGCTGCCTTGCTCCATTTCTATGTACAAATGTATCTATTGGGCACCTGCAGCCATGAGGGGAGAGCCTGTGCCCCAAACATGTATTGCATTGAGCAGCTTTGGTCCTTGACATGCCAAGAAACCAAAATATCTATCCTGCCTTTGCTGTATTACCCTCCTGTCATGTGGGAGTACATCTGGCATCACTGCCCAAGGGATCTGGCAGAGGGAAGCCTGCAGAGGACAGTGAAAGAAACCTGGCAGGATTCATCACTGATGCTCTGGGCCAGAGCCTGGAGATCCTTCTTTGTTAAAGCAGCCTCCACTCTTCAACCACCCCATTTATTGCAGGCCATTTATCCATGTAAGCAAAGCTTTATAGGATTAAGGTGGCTTGTCCTAAATTCAGTCTTCAAACACAGTGGGGATTTCCCAGAGAATTCCTATTCCATTTGGAGAGCAGACCTTTTGTATCAGCAGCTGCCCTGGGTGCTCCTCCTGCAGCCAGTGCTGCTCTTCTGGTCCCTGCCTCACCTTGACCATCTCCCATCACACTGGTCAGGCCCTCACAAGTATCACAAAATTCTCTGCCCAACTTCTTACCATTTGGGGACCATTTCCCAGACTGGAGTATTGTTCAGGCACTATGGCCACCCCTGTGAGGTTTGCTGGCTTAATCCCTCCTACATCACAGAGAGGGGAACAAAACCCCCAGAAAATGTCCCTCTTGTTTCAGCTGCCACCCCACGTAGCTGCTTGGGGCCCAATGGGTCGGCCAAGCAGCTGTGGGAAGCAGTAACAAGATTCCTTTCCCTTTCCTGCCATAACTCACTGTAGGTTGACTTTCCATTTCATAAAAGTGCGCTCCTTCCCCCCGGCTGTAAAGACGTAACGCCCGTCGTGGGAGACGGCAAAGTCAGCGGCACCGTCCGGGTGGCAAATGAAGGCTGAGGACTTGTGGGGGTTGCCATCGACAGGCAGCATCTGCAAGCCCACCTGTAAGGGAACAGGGAGTCTGGGAGGGCTGGGGGTCCCACTGGGGCAGTGCCACATCTTCTTCCCCAGGAGCTTGCTCAGCTCTGAGGCAGGACCAGCCTACACGTGGTTTCATCTTCAAGGAAATTCCCAAGGGGCCACCAGCTCTGCAAGGCCCACCAGCTGGGCAGGTGGGGCTCCCTACCTTGTCCTTTGTAATGTACACCAGGTAGTGTTGCTGGGGATCTGCAGAGCTTGTCCGAGGGAGGATTTGTATCTTCTCCAAGGGGGAGCCATAGGTTGGTCCCAAAAGGGTCTTTCTAAAGGCAAACAATGTATTTATACACTCTAGGCCACCCAAAACATTTTCCCCCTCTGAACAGCTTTTGTGTGGAAGGATGGGTAGATATGGGAGGTGTGCAGAGGCTTTGTGCTACTGGCTGAGAGAACAGGATAGGACAGGGTCCCCAGCTAGAAGGGACTACACTGGGGCTCAGAAATTAATGTAGTGCTCAGGGATTATTGTGCTTTGCTCATGTGGACCCCAATCTCTTTATCTGATGTCTAACTGCTACATCTCAGGTCCAACGTAGTGAGAAGACCAAGATCCACCTGCAGCCACAACCTTGCTAAATGACACATCAGTGAACAGCAGAGAGGGCATAAGAATGGAGTGACCTGAGGGCTCTAGAGCCATCCCAAGATCTGCATCACAGATCGAAAATCACATGCTCATGGGTGGGAGTATGGTGGTCATTAGACCAAGGAGAACACAGAGTCAGGGGGAGGCTCCCAGGCTAGGTACCTGCACATTTTGGTTCTTGTGTTGTAGAGCTTCATTTTGTAGCAGTTGTTGGCAGTGAGGAAAAAGGACTCGGTGCCGAGCTGTGGGTACCAGGTCAAGCACAGGGGCACTGCAAACTGCTCCAGCCTGTCCCTGTCTGTGACCACCAAGTGGTCCTTGATGCTGCTGTTCAGGTCATATTCAACCTGGAGGGAAGACAAGGAAACACAGCAACTCCCCTGTGGTCTGCTCTGCACCCTTGACCTTGTGGATTTGCATCTCCTGGAGAAGCCACAATAGGAGAGCCTCAGCAGCAATACCAGGCTGAGAAACAACCCACACCAGTGGAGCTGGTGGGGAGAAGGTTGGGAGCCATGGAACCAAACATGGAGTCTCCTTTGATGGCCTTGTCCAGCCCCACCCCTTTAACCACAAATCTTCCCTGTCCTTTAAACTTTTACATCGACCCACCAGCTGCCGGTCCTCCCCCAGGCTCAGGAGCCTGGGCTCGTTGCTGTCAGAGTGGACCACAAAGAGGATGCTCCGGATGGGTTTGTAGTGGGAGTCCAGCCCTGCCAGGTGTTCCCAGCATCCGCTCCCATTCTGCAGGACTCTCTTGTAAACAGTCACTGAATAATTCTCATCCTGCAACAACAGCACAAAGCTCAACGAGGGAAATCTTTTTCTTTGTACAGATCATCACCAGTTGCTACAACCTCTGAGCCAAACTGCTTCAATGCTGCCTCAATACTGCTACACAGAGACATGGGATTGAGGGAGCAACCCCCTCCCAGAGCACCAGCCAGGAGGAAATCCCTGCTCCAGCCCCTTCTTCAGATGGATGCAGAGCTAAGACCCGTCACTAAAGTTAGGGACTGGGCGCTGCTAGCAGCGGGTCTGCGGAGCCGCTGTGACTGGTGACGTTTTTACAGAGTGACTCTTCAAACCAGGAAAAGCATTCTGGAGTCAGGAAGCCCCAGGGGAGGAACAGCCCTCTGCCCTGCTCTCTCTGCATTTCAGTCACCAAGCCCCAGGGGAGGGACGGCCCTCTGCCCTGCTGCTCTGTGCCTGCAGGATGGCCGGCAGTTCCCAGTCCCTCCCAAAGCTGCCCCGCGAGCAGCGCATGTAAATCACCGAGCGGAAAAAACAAGCTTACAGCGGTCGCGAGGTACTTGGAATCGTGAGAGAAGCTGATGTGAGTCACGGGACATTGCGAGAACTGGAATTCCTCGCAGATGGACTGAAGGGAAATTGCATCAAGGATGTAAACGCTTCCATCAGTAAAACCAGCAGCCAGAAAATGACCTGGAAAGCAGACCAGAAACCTCTCACGACACCATCACTCCTCCCAGGAAAGCCAATGCTTGGCACATGGTCAGGTCACAGGGCTGGGATACCTTCAGGATCATAGGATAAGCACTGGATGCCAGCCTCAGTGAATATCCTGCTAACGAGGTACTGGGTCTGCTTGTATTCCCACACCTTCAGCAGCCCACAGTGACTCCCCACAGCCACGAGTGGCTCCTGAGGGTGGCAGGCAATGGCATTCACAGCTTTCTTCGCCTCTGTCATGATTCTTTCAAAGTTTGTGCTGTCTGTTGCAACATGGAACATGGTTGCATCAGAGGTTGAAAGGATAAAGTTCCTGTTTAGCATGAGAGAAACAGAATTCGATGAATCAGACCAACTGGCTCACGTCCCTGCAAGCTATATTACACATCAGTCTCTTTTTGGCAAGTTAGTTGGACAATCACTTATATTTTGTGATACACAGTATGCAAACGCTCCTTGACCTGGAAGGCAAGTGACACTTTGTATTCATGACCTGGGAAATGGCCACGGGAAGACACCGGAGCCAGTTCCATTTTCTACTTGGCTGGGCAAGCCAGAAGATTAATGACATCTGGGGAGCTCCTGCCATTTGCAAGTCACTGGTGTGTGAGATGGACAAGTGAGCAATTGGAGATACTCTGAATGGCCTTTTCACATGTCCCCATGCCACCACTGTCAGTGGCTCCACGTTGACCATGCTGCCATGGCCAAGGTCAGAGGGCAGTTTCAGTCCCTGTCTGCTCGCTTGGCCACGCTGAGCAGCGCAGCAGAGAGGTTTCACTGTGTGACTGGTGATGGGTGAAGCAGGCAGCAGGATAATTATTCATATTACAGCACAAACATGTACAGTTTCAGTCTGCCTGATTGAGAGTTTGGACCCAGTAAAAGGGACAAGAGAGGATCACACAGAAATTCCAGAGTGGTTTGAGTAGGAAGGGACCTTAAAGATCATCTTGTTTCGACACCTTCCACTAGACCAAGTTACTCCAAGCCTCATCCAACCTGGCCTTGAACAATTCCAGGCATGGAGCATCCACTGCTTTTCTGGGCAACCTGTGCCAGGACATCACCACCCTCACAGTGAGGAATTTCTTCCTATATCCCATCTAACCCTGCCCTCTGTCAATTTTAGCCATTTTCCCCTTGTCCTGTCACTCCATACCCTTGTCCAAAGTCTCTCTCCAGCTGTTTTGGACCCCTTGAGGCACTGGAAGGTGCTAGAAGGTCTTCCTGGAGCCTTCTCCAGGCTGAGTGTGGGAGCTGCACAGACAGACAAGTGGGGAAGCACAGCCTCTTTGCCAGCTGTTCCATGACAGCCACCAGTTTGTGCACATCTGGCCCAGGCACTGATGGACTCTGCACCCCTTGCGTGCCTTAGCTGGGCTCTCCAACCATTCCTAATCCCACCAGCCTCTGGGATGAGCTCAGGCCTTCCCTTTCCCTTTGGGAAGCCAAACTGGCCCCCAGGACACTGCTCCAGGCTGGAGAAGAATCTGTCCCACATGGCTCTTTGGAAAACATGCATGTCTAAGAACAGATATTGCCAGGAAAGCCTTTACAGGAGTGACAGACATGTGGTTTGCAGGCTGGATGGAGCCACACAACAGCTTCATGTGGCCTGCAGACTTCCTGGAAATCCTACGTCACACAGAGGGACAGAGAGGGGCTGTGACCAGTTAGTGTGGTACAACCCTGTGCTGGTGCCACAGCCCCAATTAGCTTGCCAAGCCATGATAAAATCTGGATACAGCCATGCCTGGGAAGGGTTTAAGGGGGGTTTAAGGGGCCCAGTGAGAGCTGGAGGCTCGGCATTAGCACTGCCTGGTGTGGTGGGTACCTGACAGAGAAGCTGATCATCACCGTGCCTGCACTAACGCCATGTCTGTGCCAAGGCATCACCTGCAGCTCAGAGTCTGGGATGTGCTGGAGCCCACCCACACTCCCTCCCTCTCCTGCCCAGGAGCCTGGGCACAAGGCTGAGTCCTGCTCCAGACCAGGCAGAAGCTCATGGAGCAGCTCTCACTGAGCACCTCCCCAGCTTTCAGCTGCAAGGCAAACACAGGAGAAGATCTGGGTTTGTAAAGAGACACTCACCTGGTGAGAAAAGGCTGGCTGCTGCCTGGGAGGTCACTGGGAGGATCCCGAAGGATTGTGGAGAAGGAGATGGACTGGATGGGACCCACTTTGTCGTGGCTGTAGATGCTGAGGAGCCGCAGCTGCCCATCGTAGAATTTAACCTGCCCTTTCACATCACCTGTGGCTATACAGCTGCAGGGAAGGGAAAGTTATTAACCAACACACTGACTGACAACTCCTAATATTTCTTGGAGAGCATCCTTGGGTGGAAGTAAATCTCTTCCCCTTTCTCTGCACAAGCACACGAGCAGAGCCCTGCACAGATGTGCAGGAGAAAGCCAGGGTTGTGCAGAAACCAGAGGTTCTGCTGTGACCCTGCCGTGTCTCCGCCGTGTCCCCAAGGCTGTCGCGGCGTTTAGTGGCTGTCTGCTCCCTCTGCCGGTAGCAGCCAGGAGCCTGAGCCACTGTCTGAGCTATCCCAGGGGAGCTGGCATCGCATTACCACTACTTTTCAACTTCATTTCCACCCCCAGACAAATCCATTGCTGGAAAATTACTCATAAACCAGCAGCACTTTCCTGCATGAGTGACCACGCTGCTAAGTGACTTAAAACTCCAACATTTCTGCCACTCCTACAGCTGAGCTACCTGAGGACTGTACCTACAGCTACTGAAAAGGGCTGCCCTGTTACCTCTCCAACACCTGGAGCACGGTAAGACTCTCCTTCTGCATTGCCACCACCTTGGCAGCTGTCACTCCGTGCGGTTTGGCCGGCAGTTCCTCGGGGAGAGTGCGGGGATCGTCCATGTCCCACACCACCAGCTTCCCGGCCGAGGTGCCCGTCAGAGCTTGGGTGTTGTTAAAATGGAAAACTGACTGGCTGAACTGTCCCACCAGGCACTTGAAGGTCTGTGGAGACAGCAGCCAGGCCGTGTTTTCATCCCAAGTCTGGCTCTGCCCTCCTCAAGCAGAGAGGTTTCTGCTTGGTCCTCATGGCATTCCCTTCCTGTCCCATGGCAGGACAAGAGACAAGAGCCTCAGGAGAAAAAGCAGTGAGGCACTTTGGGGAGAGAGAGCTCTGCTTGAGCTCAGCTTGGACAAGCCTGCCTTGTCCCTGTCTGAGGGGGACAGGCCAGGACCACTGTTTTTGCTTAAGGGGTTGGGGAGGGACAGTGCTGCTGCCAGCAGGAAAGCCTAGAGGGTGACATGCTCTGGTCCCTCCCTGCTGTGCTCACCTGGTTGCTCAGGAATGGTGTCCCGTACTGCAAACCAGAATCATCCTGGAGAAAGCAGAGAAAACATCCAGGACAGGGATTTTGGAGCCAAGCTCTGCAGTGGCAGCATGGCCCTCCCCACCATCTGGGCACTGGCCCCACACTGTGGTGACCAAAGCAGGAAAGGCTCTAAGGTCTTCCAGAGAGCACAAAACATCCTCTCCCTCCACCTGCTTCTTTCCAAAAGCTGCTGAGTGGCACAAGGCCCATGGGAAAGCAGGAATGGGAGAGGTGAAGAGCATCCCTGCCACAGCTGGGCCTGACCAGTGTGGGAATGGAGGGAATGTGACACTCTGTCCAGACCACTTTGGGATCTGACAAGGGCAGGGAGCAGGGAAGGGACAGATCTGCAGAGTGACCCCAGTTGGGGACAGACACCCAGCCCCTGAGCCCCCACCACCTCCTTTCTGGCACCAGAAACACGACTTCCCATGTCCCTACTTACCCACAGGTAAAATATCACCTGGGTTTTGCTGTTGCTGAGAAACTCATGGGGATTCTGAGGGTTAAAAATGACATAATCCTGAAATTCAAAGAATTGTATTAGCACCAAGCTGAGCTATGCTTTCTGCTTATTCTTCCATCCAAAACCACTGCTTTTATCCAAAACCACTTCACCAGCTGCACTGAACTGAAATCAGAGGACACCCCATGCCTGTCAGGCATTAGAGGAACAGGGATGAGCCCTTGGGATGCTCTGCTGCATCAGGGTGCCCCAGGGATGGGGTGTGATCCTGCCCCCCTTGGCATGGTCACTCACCTGATACCCAAACTCAGGCTTCAGCTCTGTGCTGCACATGGGTTCCTCTGTGAGCAAAGTCCATCTCCAAACACAAACTTTCTGAAAGAGAATGGGAGAAAAATCCAAGGAACACTCCCATGGCTCTCTGGGAGGTTTGGGGAGCCAGGTGAATCCAAATTCCCACTGCAGGGAATGATGTGGCCTAAAAGACTGGAGCAGGCCAAAACCCAGCACAGCCTGGCAGCAGAAAGCTTAATTTCAGGAAATAATGCTAGAAATTGCTTAGATGAAAGTGATGAAGTCAGAAGCTTTTATCCCAAATTAAGATACATTTTCTCAACTCTGCAGCATTAACTTTAATGAAATCCAGGTCTGTCTTCTAATGGCTCAGCAAAAACAAAGCATCACTCTGCAAACCTGCTCCCCCTCTCTCCATCTGAATTCCCGCCTCCTCTGTGCTGCACTGGAAAAAACTTCCCAGTGTCTATCCTGCAAATCTATGAAAGAGGAGATACTCTCTTTACCTGCACAGTAGCAGCACTAATGGTCACCAAATACTTGGCATCCTGGGAAATGGCAATGGCACAGACCCCGTCCTCTGAATGACTCTCAAAGATGGTGCGCACGGGTACCCTGCGGAGCAGAGATCCCCTGGGTGCTCCTGGCAGCACGGGGGGTTCCAGGCAGTCACTTGGCAAAGCCTGTGCCACAACCCACCCACCCTGGTCTGTGTGGAAGGGATGGAGGGAGGGAGGCTGCAAACACTGGTGCTGCCTCAGGCTGGTGCTCAGTGTCCCCTCCATCCCTTCCTCCCAAGTAGATGGCACTGGGAAACAATTCACCACGGATCTTTGAAGATCCTACAGCATGGAGATGTGATGGAGATGTACTTAGTCTGGGGGAGCTCAGCCTTATCTCAGTGTCCCATGAGTGTAGGTGATACAAGGACTATGAAGGACTTGGTTTGGTTTTGGTTCCTTTGCTGCTTTTTAGTCTGTCCCTGTGTTCTCCCATTTTACTCTCAGCTGAGACTGGAGTCTGAGTGATTTACTGGACACAGGGGGTTTCCAAAAGAGGAGGTTCCTGGGAGCTTACCCAGAATAGGAGTCCCACACGATGATCATAGCATCTGGCCCTTGATCAGCAGTCGCAACCCAGCGTTTGTCTTCACTCACACACAGGCAGGAGATGACATTTGTGTGGCCCTGGGGGAGGGAAGCAGCAAAGTGCCTTGGAGGCTGCAAACCTGGGGCTGTTCTGTTCATACCTTTTGTATAGGCTGCTCCTGGGTTTGGTTATAGGTGACCCCTGAGCACAGGGCCCCAGAAAGAGAAATGGAGGGGAGGGGTTCAGGAGAAGGGGAGAAGGAGGAGGGAGATGCTTGGCTGTGCCAGACCTGCAGGTGGAACTGCCTGTTCTGCAGGATGTCGTGGATGACCACTGTGTGGGAGGAGACATACAGGAGCACCCGGTCCTCCCCGTCCATCAGGCTGTGCACAGCCAGGCTGCTGTTGTAGCCAAACACCCAGGACAGGTCCTGCAGGAAAGAGACAGCTCCTGGCCCTCAGCAGCCAGGACAAAAAAAAGGCACACAAGGTCTGTGGGGTGACGGAAGAGAGCGGGGCAGGAGTGCTGGGTGCCATGTGGAGCACCCTGGTGGCACTGTGCCTGTTGGTACTCACAAGGGGGTGAAAGCTGCTGTCCCTGCTCTTCCGGAACAGCATCCCCGGCATGGCTGCCCACACCATGCTGGCAGAGCCTTTGTGCCGTGTGTGCTTCTCCCTGTAGCCTGACAGAGGGCTGGAGATGGCTGCCTTGGACTCACACAGTGCTGGGGGTGGCTCAGGGGGTCCAGCACTCTCCAGGCATGATGCCCCAGCAGTGCCTTCCCCAGGGTCCCAGCCCAGGTGCTGGGCAGGGTGTCTGAGATCCCCATACCTAAAGGAGATGACCGGGGACATGACGGTGACTCTTCATTATCCTCTGGTGCTCCGTTCTTCTCCCTGGCAGCAGCAAGGGGATCCTTGAAAAGGGAGAGAGGTTTTGGTGAGTGCTGGCTCCTGGGCTAGTCTGTATGGGGACTGCCCTGTGGCTACTAGGAATGAACCCCAGCATGTCTCAGATCCCATGGGTTCTGTTTCCACTGGGATCTGCCCCAGACCCTGTCTCAAACAGGACTTCCCATGGTGCTGCCCTCACCTCATCAGGCTGCACATCCATCTCCTGAGCCGTCTGTTTGTCCTGGGACATCTCCCTGGGCTCACTGCTTAGTGCTGCTCCTCCCTCAGTGGGTTACTCCAGCGTAACTTCACATGGACCATGCATCCACACCTTCACCCTCCTCCCAGGGAGCTGGGGTGTGGAGATGCTCTGAAATACTTCCCAACACACACTCTTCCCGATTTGCCTGCACAACCACCTGGAATTGGGCACAGCAGGAGAAAAGGGCACCTGTGAAGCTGGGAAATGGGTCCCAGAGCCCCTTGTGAGCTCCCACACTGAGCACAAACGCGCTCAGTACAGCGGTTACTGCAGCTGAGCGCAGGCTCCCTCCCTTGGCTGCCCGCGCACCGCGCCGGGCGCGGAAATTTCCCTTTCGGATGGGATTTTGTCACAGTCCCTGTGAGCACTGAGCTGCTCCTGGGCGGCAGCTGCTTCATCTCCGGCTTCACGGGTCTGGACTTGAGCCAACACCAAAACCTTGTGCAGAGAAAACTTTCACGGGAGGGCAAAGAGGCCCTGGGAAAAACCCTCCCGGGCCTCGGCAGGCGGGACGGGAGCGGCCGCGATCGCCGGGTCTCACCGCGCTCGCACCGAACCGTTCCCAAGACCCCTCCGGGCTTCGCTGCCTCCTGCTGTCCCGAGGGACCCCCCGGAGACCCTCCCGAGGACTCCCCCCCGCTCACCGGCACAGCGATCCCCGCGTCTCTCTGCCTCTGCGACCGCCGTTCCCAGGCAACGGCCGCACCGGCAGCACCGGCTGCGCCACCGGCTGCACCGGGAAACAACGGGAGAGAGGGGAAATCCTCCTCATCCTCACCGGCTGCACCGGGAAACAACGGGAGAGAGGAGGGAACTTCCTCGCCCCCACCAGCTGCCAGGAAGAGGCAGCGCTGGCCCCCAGCCCAAAGCAGGGACCCGGAGGAGGGAACATTCAGCCCTTCACCCTCCCCAAGCCTAAATCCCGCTCTTGGCTGTGACAGAGTCCCTCTTGGCATCGCCGGAGCCATTCAGGACCGAATCTTCACCCTGCCCGAGGAATGGGGTGAGGGATCTTTACCCGACGCCCCACACAAGGAGTTGCAGGCAGCTCTGCTCCAGTGGCTTCCCTGAGCAGGACAAACGGAGTCAAAGCGAGAAAAACCATCCCCCAAGCCCTGCCAGTCCCCCACGGTCCCCAGCTCTCTGCCAGGACAGCACTTGCACAAGGAACCCACTCCCAGGGCTCACTTCAGGCTCTCACTTCACCCCTGCAGATAATCAGCTCCAAACGCTCCCGGCTGTTGACCTCAGGCTTGCTGTTAAGCTCAAATAGTAACAATTTCTAAACTTAATGTTTTTCCTTCTGCCCAGAAAGAGCCTCACACCCTGCTGGGAGCAGAAAGATTTGTTATTAGCTCCCATTATCTCCCTGACTCAGAGAGGCTGCCCCAAATAATGACTTCTATGAGAACAGAGAGAGGCAATACTCAGTTTTATTGCTTTGGGAGACTATTTTGAAGTTCAACTGGAAATAAGCTTTAAACAAACCAGTCATTCCTGGAATCCCTTCCAACAGTTTATGCATCTGTGGTGGTTTAGGAATGGTATTCCCCAATTTACTGTTCCCACTGAAAACACCCCAGACCATGTGCCACCCACCCACTCCCCCCACTGCTCCTGCAGCAGGATGGAGAGGAGAATGGGAGGCACAAGAAGGTAAACCCTGTCCTGGCTGGAACCAGGAAACACCCCAAAATCAACTCCTGCAAATAAACAAAATTTTAAAAAATTAAAAGAAAACAGAGAGAAGCTAGATTAGGAGTGCTTTATCATAACTATATAAACTACTAGAAGTTCCAAAAGCAGAATTATAACCCCTATTCTTTACCTCATTGTGTTAAAATAACTGGGCATTTCAAAAATCCTTTCAGTATGTTCAATGACTTTAAAAGTTGTGGCAACATGGGGAAGATGTATCAAACTTGCATATCTCTTGCCTGTCATCTACTATGACAGGCATCAAAAAGTGCTCTAGGACTTTTTAGCATATATTACACGATATTCGGTGAGGAGTTTTAAAGGGGAGAAAAAAGGAATGCTCTGTTATCACCAAAACAGAGCATTTCAAGCTCTTTGGAGCGTGTATCAAGGGAGATTTGGGTCTCTCTAGAGCCTTATTCTAAATTGATACAAGTGGAAGAGATGAGAAGCCACATCTTGCAGCTCTGCAGGTTCCTCCTGACAACCAATGCAATTCTGAACTGCAGAACTCTGCCAGAACCCTTCAGGCACCAGAGGTCACAGCAACACCACGTAGGGAAGTTTTCAAACCAGATCAGAGTCCAGAAAGCGGCACAAGCTTCAGCTTTATTGTTCTCCCAGCCATGGTCATCTTTGTAAAGGAATGATATTGCAGCTGAAAAAGAAGAGGGTAGGAGGAAATATTAAATCTTCATTTCTCAGACAGGCACAGAAGACCTGACAGGGCTCAGACCCACCACAACCCTCCTCCACTGGTTTACCAGACAAACCAGCCACTGAGACCTTCCTGCCTGTGCTCATGTTTGATGGAACTTGACTCCCTGTATCCCTGTGCAGAAGCAGCAGCCTCCAGCTCCCTGGTGCCCACCTGTCAGGTCTGTGACAGTGGGCAGTGACACAGCCAGGGCTGGCCCTGCTCAGGAAATGTGCCCTGAGCTGGTGAAAGCCTCTTCCCTCCAGCAAGTGAAACAGTAGCTCACCCCAGGAGGCCCTTCCCGGCCCAGCGCTTTGGAGTCAGCCCCACGTGCACCCTTCTGCCACCACGGATCACAGTCACACTCAGGGGTCTCTGAAAGAGAGGAAAAAACAAAAAAAATAACCAAAATATTTCACTTTTCCATCACAAAGTCAACTCCCTTCTTTTGCTGAAGCACACGAAGAACACTAAGCCCAAGGAACTGTTCTGCAGCAGTGCCCATTCCCACTCCTGTGGCTGTAACTGAAAGAATGGAGTGTTTTGTGTGAAGTCATCTCCAGAGATCCCTCACTTCCACCACCAAGCACTTAATGGTTGTGGCAGCTTCTCCAGCCAGGCCACGAGGCTGGCACAGCAGTGCTGCTGCAGGGAGTCCCCAGGGAGAACAAACAACGTGATGCTCACACCTCTCAGCTCTTCCCTTCATGAGCAAATAGCTCAGTGCTGTGAGAGAACTGCACAGACTGAATCTGACACTGTTTCTGACATGGAAATGATGATTCCAGAGATCCAAGTTCCATAGAAAAAGCTGTGGCTAACAGAGACAGGCAAGAGAATGCAGTCACAGCAGGAATGAGCTCACCCCCTCGCTGTGCTGCACCACCGTGGCAATGTTCTGCAGGTTCTGGAAGTTGTTTGCATTGACAGATCCAAACTCCACAATCTCATCGTCAACTTGAAGTCCCTGGACAGAGACAGAAGAGAGATGAGAATCTGCATTCTCCAAAGACAGGTAATATCACAGGAGCATCGCCCTTCACCCAGCCACAGGGAGAGAGATGTGCTACAACACCTCTCACACTCAGGGAAGTGAACACCACTACAGCCACAGGGAGAGGTAAGTGTTCATTCCTCTGTTCTGTTTCATGGGAAGAGAAATACTGAGGCTGGAATGGTCAGTGAGGTGTGGAAGGAGCTGTGGGGTGCCAGGATACAGCTCAGAGAACACCCATCTCTTCCCTGTACAGTGACCAGCTCAGAGAACACCCATCTCATCCCTGTACAGTGACCAGCCCCTTCACAGGACATCCCAACATGATAAAAAGAAGGGGCTGACACCTTAATCAAGGCCCCAGCTTATTCCCACTTATTAACAAGAGGCAGAGGGAGCCATGAGCTGTCTGGCTCCAGACAAAGCCTTCCCCAGGAGCTGTGCCCGACGTACCGAGACACTGGCAGGAGAGCCCGGGGTCACGGAGTTCACTTTGGCAAAGGCCTGGGGCAGGCTCTGGCTCTGGCTCATGGCCTCGGCCAAGGCCTCTGCCTCATCCTTGGCGTGCTTCTCCTTCTCCCGGGCGTGCAGCTTGTGCAGGGCTTCCTCCACCTGCTTCATCAGGGCCTTGTGGTCATTCTGCAAACCTGTGGGTGACACCATGAGCACACAGGGAGCTGGAGAGGCTTCCCCCAAAGGGCTCTCAGCACCTGCTCCCCCCTGCAGCCACGCAGAGCAGTGCCCTGGCTGTCTCTGATCTCAGCAAGAACCTCTGCTCTATCTGCTGGGGCCTGGTGCCAGCCCAGCAGATGTTTATCAGTAAAAGTCAGACACAGAGAAAACCACCCTACAAATTTTGGTAAACATGCAAAGGCAGAAGGGCTGGGAGGCCCATGATCCCTTAGCACTCAGTGAGCAGCATAAGTCTTCTTTCCATTAAATCACCCGCTGTAATGTATGTATCCATCCTGAAAGTCAGGGCACTGGGAAAGCCTGGGATGAAATAAATGCCAAGCTGTTTTCTACCCAAATTTTATTCTACAAACAGCACAGAAAGGCTTTGTTGTGTTTCACAGATCCCAAATGGCTCCGCAGCAGTGGCAGAATTTCAGTGCCGCTGCAGCAACACGTGTTCAAAAGCATTTTACTGACTCAGCCCCGGCGCAGCTCCGAGCACTGAGCAGAACCACGGGGGAACGGGCTCAGCGCAGCCCTGGGCTCCGGCTCTGAGCAATTACAACGAGCGCCATGGGGGTTTCAGAGAGATGAGGAATTACAACGAGAGCCATGGGGGTTCCAGAGAGCTCAGCGGTTCCGCGGGGTCCGTTCCCGGGCAGAGGCCGCGTTTGCCCCGCACATCCCGGTTTCGCTGGCTCATCCCGCGGGATGGGGGCGCGGCCCGGCCCCGGGAAAGGCCCCCCCGCCCGGTCCCCGTTCCCCGCTCACAGATGATGTTGTGCCGGGCGGTGCGCACTTGGTACAGGTCGATGTCCGAGCGCGGGAAGCCCTCGGCGTCCACCAGCGGCTCGTGCATCCCGACGCCCTTTTGCTGTGAGGGAAGAGGCGGCGGTTGGGAGAGGGCCGGGCCCGCGGGCCCGCACGGCGCCCCCCGGCCCGGCCCGGCCCTGCCCGGGCACCGACCCCCTCCAGCAGCTCGTAGCACGCCTTGATCTGCGCCTCGATCTCGTCCTTGCGCCGCACCAGCTGCTGCACATCGCTGACGGTGACGGGGCGGCCCCCGCCGGGCTCCGCCATGGCCGCGGCCGGACGGGAGCCGGGACGGGCGGGGGCGGGGCCGGGGGCGGGGCCAGCGGGGCCGTGCGGCGGTGACACGGCGGTGACACGGCGGTGGCAGCAGAGGGGTGGCACAGCTGCGTCACTGCCACCGCGGCACACCGCTGTGGCGCTGGCATGGGGTGGCCCAGCGGTGTCACCGTTCTGGGTCACGCTGCTGCGGTGGTGCCATGGGGCGGCTCTGTTGGTGGCACACAGCGTTGATGGTGACATGTAGTAGCACAGCGGTGTCACCACTGGGTGACACAGCCGTGGTGCACGGTGTTATGTCCCTGTCCCTGCTGCTGGCCCCTCTCCAGCCTGTGGCCCGGCACATTTGCCGGGCGCTGCAGGGCATCCATGTCCCAGGCGGTGTGGCAGCAGGGGACAGCCCCACCCCTGTCCTCCATGCCACTGGCCCAAGCCCCGTGTGCTCATCCTCTCTGGCCTTGCTGGTGGCTGCAACTTCCCAGCACTCCCAGTCAGGTGGAGTTTGTGCCCTGCTGCCTCCCCGGCAGGGCCAGCTCTTGCCCCCTCCTCCTGCTGTCCCACATTTTGTGTCCCTGCAGCGCTGGGCTCACGGGGGCTGAAGGTGGCACCGCGTGGCCCCGTGCCCAGACCCCACCACGCACCCAGCTGGGCTCTGCAGGCTGCCCTGGCCCAGCGCTGCCCAGGATGGCATGTCCCCAGCGCGGGGGCAATGTCCCCAGGGGCAGCGGGCGGGCCGGGGGATGTGCTGCCCAAATTGCGTCACCCCCCGGTGACCTGTGACACACACGGGGTCCCAGCCCTGCAGAGCCTCACGTGCTGCGCTGCCACCCTCAGCACCCTCCACGTCTCACCCCGCAGTGCCACCGCCAGGGCTGCAAGGACCCGTGACACGGCCCCGGTGACAGCCAGCCGCCACCCCCGCCTGGGGCAGCTCCCGGCCCCAGCCAAACACATCCCTGGGTTGGCGGCGGGAGAAGGTGGGGCCGAGGAGGAGCCTCCCCGTCCCGTTATATTGAAAGCCCCCCGTTCCCGCGCTCTCTTGGCTTCCAACATCGCCAGGTCGCAGAAATGGTGAGGGGCAGCAGATGGGAATTAGTTCAGACACCTGGGGCTCCATGGCACGGGACACTTTTGGAGATTTAAGCTCTGCTGGAATTCTGATTTTCCAGTGACTGTGCTCAGCAGAGCTGTCCTCACAGCCTGACCTTTGGATTCAGCTCCCTGGGGCTGCTGTACCTGCCTGTCCCGCTAATGTCTCTCTTTTCTCATTCTCTTTCAGACGTCCTACACAGACAAGGGGGAAAAGGTAAGAGTTGTGTCCCTGTCCTGCCCCTCTGCCTGGTGTGAAACATCGGTCATACTACTGCAGATTATGTCAATTCCTTGATTACCTGTTGAAATGAGAAGTAAAACTGCTCTGGGCCACACAAGATCCTCGTGGTAAATTAGTATTAATCACTGAAATTTTTGGTTTGGGAGGAGAGTGACAGGCGATGATGGATGTTTCCCAGTCAAGTCAAGCCTTAAGCAGAATCCTCATTCCATGCAACATTTATTTCCAAATGCTGCATTTTTTGCCTCCTTTATCAGTTTTAAAGTGTTTCCAGTGCTGGGTGGCCTGTGCCAGTTTGGGCAGTGGTGGGGAATGGAGCAAAGGGGGATCTGTCCTGGCGCTGGTGGTTGTGTAAGAACTTTTGTGGAAGAATTAATATTTAACACAGTGAGGTTTGCAGGTGGGCAGCTCGCTGGGATGGCCACTTGTGGAGAGCACTGGGAGAACTGGGACTGTGGCTGTGGGCAAAGGCAAATCGGTGCTTTGTACATTCCTGCAGTGCAGGATCCTGTGGGACTTGACTGTAAGGCACTTTGGAAAATCACCATCTGGGGGTTGTTCCACCCAGTCAATCCAGATGCATTTGCAGGAGATGCATTTTCAGGGTCCCAGCTGCTGCTTCCCCCTGCTCCAGAGCCGAGCAGTGCTGCAGGAAATGCAGCAGCAGCAGCTTTCAGCCCCATTTTCCTTTCCTTTTAGCCCCAACGAGGCCGCTTCATCCACTTCCACTCCATCACCTTCTGGGTCGGCAATGCCAAGCAGGTGAGAGGCTGCGGCCACCAGGCACACGAGTGAGGGGACAGCAGTGCCAGGGGACAGCAGTGCCAGGGGACAGCAGTGCCAGGGGACAGCCATGCCAGGGGACAGCAGTGCCAGGGGACAGCTGAGCCAGGGGACAGCAGTGCCAGGGGACAGCCGAGCCAGGGGACAGCCGAGCCAGGGGACAGCAGTGCCAGGGGACAGCAGTGCCAGGGGACCCCTCCCTTGCTGGGACAGGCAGGTGCTGCAGGCATTGGCTGCCCAGGGGGTGTTGGCTCGTCCCGGCAGCCCCCGGGCCGGGATGTGCCGGTGTCCCCAAGCCCGGCCCTGGCCTGGCGCCGGTGGCCTTGGTGGCCCTTGCGCAAGGCGAGGGGCGGCTGCCGGGGGTGGGACGTGGGACGTGAACCAGGGCACGTGGCCGGGCTCAGCTGTGGCCACCAGCCTGCAGAGCTGCATGGGCTCGTGGCAGCTGGTCTCCATCCCTTGCCCTGGGCAACTTAAACACCTCTGTGCTTCACACCCAAGCTGCTTTTCACCCAGCCTTGCAGAACAGGGCACATGCAGAAATGTCTCCTGCTCCATGGCAGCCCTCACAGAAAGTTCTGGAGGCAGCACTTCCCACTGAATTTGGGCTTTTTCCTCAATCCTGGCCCTTTCTTGCCTCTGTTTGTTCCCCCTGGGCTGCTGGAGGAGGTGGAGAAGCTGCTGCCTGTTCTCACACACACACAGGGCAAGTGTGACTTGCACCTGCCATGGTGGCTGTTCTCCATGGCCTGTGGGCCACCAGCACTGCAGCTTCACCCTGAGGGACCCTTCCCTTCTTCACACTCTGCCCACAGGCTGCATCCTACTACTGCAACAAGCTGGGCTTCGAGGAGCTGGCCTACCGGGGGCTGGAGACCGGCAGCAGGGAGGTGGTGTCACATGTCGTCAAGCAGGACAAGGTAAGGTGCCGCTGCCAGGGCAGGGAAAGGTGAGGTGGTGTCAGACATGAGGGTGCTGCCAAACCCACCATGAAAACCATCACCTGTGGCTCTTCACTTCATCCTCTCCTCTCCTCCTCTTCCTCGGCAGATCGTGTTTGTTTTCTCATCCGCTCTGAACCCAGGGAATGAGGGTAGGTGTCACTGGGGGGGATGGAGGGGGAAATGGCTGTGGCAGAACAAAGCAGTTCTGCTCATGCCTGTGGCTGTTCCTGCCTGGGGCAGAGATGGGGGAGCACCTGGTGAAGCACGGGGACGGGGTGAAGGACGTCGCCTTCGAGGTGGAAGACTGTGACTTCATCGTGCAGGTGGGCAGCCCCTCCCTCCACCCCCTCCCACACAGCCCCCCAAAACGGTGAGGGGAGGCAGGGAGGGCCTGGGGATGTCTCTCCCTGGCCCAGGGGAGCCGTGGCTGGACAGGATATCTCTCCTTCTGCCCAGAAAGCCAAGGAGCGTGGTGCTGTGGTGGTGAAGGAGCCGTGGGTGGAGCAGGACAAATTTGGGAAGGTGAAGTTTGCAGTGATCCAGACGGTGAGTGGCAGGGTAGGGCCATGGAGCTGGCTGCACCTGGGAGGCCCCTGCACAAACAAGGCCCCAACACAACCGCTTTTCTCCCCCACAGTATGGTGACACCACCCACACCTTGATAGAAAAGCTCAACTACAAGGGCCTGTTCCTCCCTGGGTACCACCCACCCCTCTTCAAGGACCCCCTGCTGTCCAAGCTGTGAGTACTTTCCAGAGGCTCCTGCCTGGCTCTTTGCCATCGTGTTCTGGTGGAATATCACACCGAGGAGCTGGACAGGTCTCCAGTGCCCTGCCCTGGAGCCCCCTGGCTCTGGGGTACCCCTGAGCCTGGCTGAGACCCTCCTTGTCTTCCCCCCACAGACCAAGCACCAAGCTCAGCTTTGTTGATCACGTTGTGGGGAACCAGCCTGACCTCCAGATGGTCCCAGTGGCAGACTGGTAAGAGTGGGGAGAGCTGCTGGGAGGTGGGATGGAGCAGCAGCACAGCTCTGCTGGTCTCACTGCTGCTGCCAGGGCTGATGAAGACAGCAGAGCTCCATTACTGTGGGGATGGAGCTTGGATGTGCCCCTTGTGACCCGGGCAGGTACCAGAAGAACCTGCTCTTCCACCGCTTCTGGTCAGTGGATGACAAGCAGCTGCACACCGAGTTCAGCGCCCTGCGCTCCATCGTGGTCACCAACTACGAGGAGACCATTAAGATGCCCATCAATGAGCCAGCACCTGGCAAGAAGAAATCCCAGATCCAGGTGGGTGGATGCTGGTGGTTGATCCATGTGGCTGCCTCCACTCCCAGGGGGATCTCAGTGAAGGAACAGGGGACCAAGTGTCAGTGATTTGGAGCCAGAGCAGACCTGCTGTGCTAAAGTGACTGCTAGAGAGCAATCCTGGCTCTGCTCGGGTCTGACAAACCCTGGGGGAGAAGCTGGGCAGAGCCAGTTTGCCCCATCTCATCAACAGTGTCTTTGCCATTCCATGGTGCTCCTGGGCTGATCTTGCCTGCATATTTTTAAGCCCACACCCATCTCTTCAGAGCTGTAGCTGTGCTGTCACTACCATGGTGACTTCTTTTCCCTGTAGGAATATATTGATTACTACGGAGGGGCCGGAGTCCAGCACATCGCCCTGAACACCCCTGACATCATCTCAGCAGTGAGTGCAGCCCTGTGATCCCCTGCCCTGGGACCCCCTGCCCTGGGATCCCCTGCCCTGGGATCCCCTGTCCTGGGACCCCCTGCCCCGGGACCCCCTGCCCTGGCTGGGCACAGTGCTCATCACAGGATGCACCATGACCCTGCCAGGGTATAAGGACACAGAGCTAATGGCCTTTGTGCTGTGGTTGTTTTACAACCAGCATTAACTGCCCAGGGAGTCAAAGGGACCTCCTGCATCTGTGAGCTGCCTGTCCCTCCAGATTAAAGCAATTGGGGTCTGCAGGGCCCTTGGTGGCACCTTTGTCCTTGCAGGGTGCCTGGTGGGACACAGACAGCCCAGACTGCCAGGCTGAGCCCCACAGCCCATCACCCACCTTCAGCTGGGGCAGGGGCAGGTCTGGGTTGGGCCCAGCTGCTGCTGAGCACCCAGGTTTGGGCTCCTCTCCAGACCAAAGGGCCTCCAGAGCTATCAGTTAGGTCAGAGCAGGACAAATTATCCTTGCA